TTACTTCTAGAATTGATTTCAAAATAAAATCTTCAATTTGATGAATTATTGAATGTTGTTTTTTTAAAGCACATAAAAATTAAAATATAACTAGGTAGTCATTAAAAATAATTAAAATAAAAAATCTCCGAAGATCCGAACCAAACCATACTGAACCGAACCGTCCCAATAGTCATGAATACCGAACCGAACCGAAAAATAAAAATCTCTGAGCCGAACCGAACCGACTTTTTGGTACGGGTCCGGAGATTGAATGTTGGGATCTCTGAAGTTTGGTACGATTCTGGAGATTTATCAATCTCCGAACTGTACCGACCCAGACTCACCCCTAAGTAAAATAGTTACAAAAAGGTCTTTTTCATACATAAGGGAGAAATTGAAACATTTTTTTGCGAAACATAATGGACCTTTTTGTTGCAAAAAGAACCTTTTTGCAAACATACATGATGAAAACAAAAAATGCAGTTCGAAGAGGAAGAAAAAGTTGAGCTAGTGAAACATACATGACTAAAATTACAATTTACTCAATTTTACACAAATAAAAAACCGTTTTTTTTTTTTTTTTGTTAATAAACGGTGGGTTGGCCCGCGGCCTGCCAAAACCTGCGACTCGCACGGGCCAGCCCGTTTAAGCTCGCTCTTTGACGGGCCTTCAAAATAGCAGCCTAACCCGCCTATTTGGCAGAGCGAGCTGGCTGGCCCGTGGGCCTAGGCCCATTCTGACATGTAAGTGAATGAGCAATTGGGCTTACAAGAAGGATCTTCAATGAGCTGAGCCCAATTTTATTTTTTATTTTTTTTGTTCGGAACTATAGAATTCATTAATAGAACAAGTAATTACATCTGATTAACTAGCCGATTGAAGAAGGCCACCTAAGATAGACTAGTGGAGAATACACACTTCTCAACGGGAGAATACACACTTCCAAAAAAGAAAATAAAAAAACAAAACACACACTTACAACACGAACACAAACACAATATAAAACAATATTTAAGGTAAAGCCCTTCCACAACAGCCTAGCCACTCGGAGCAAAGAACACGATGTCGACACCTACGGGTGACCAGACACACGGACAGAGACACGTCCCAAGTCGCAAAACTATAAACTGTAGAAAAAACGGCTAACTAGATCTAGGAACAATAGACCCTGCCCTCGCCTAGGTAGACAACCCTCAGACCCGCAACTAGAGATCCACAACACTCTTCATCCCCCACACAACCAACAACCCGGGTACAGAACACGAAACACGACCTCAACTCGACTCATTTGATACAACCCATACACCTAAAACAAGGAAGAACGTGAGAAAATTGGG